TAAATTGAACAACCTTGAACATTTTTTTAAAAGCCAACAGAAACGACCTGGTATGCAAAATTTTATCTTAAACAAAACAATTTTCTTCGTATTAATCGTTTTCCATTCCTTGACCCCTAAACCATTTTGATCTAGTATTTTGTGACAACAAAAGCAAACTATCACAGGCGTTTAGGTTGTCAGTGTCATTTTGTCAGTTATACATTTCATTTTAAAAATGCATTTATCTGAGAAAGAACGTATTGAAGTACTTATGATGATTGTTTTTGGAGACAGAGTGTTCACTCAACAAGAAGTGTGTAATTTATTTAATGTAATTCATCCTGATCGACCTCTAATTACTAGATCTACTGACAGCAAAATTGAACTGAAATTTGCTGAGCACGGCGACGTTAGAGATTTACCTAAAGGAAGACCAACAGAAATATCAGAGAATCTAAACTAGACGTTTTACTAGAAACTGTAAATAATCCCCATGTAGCCGTTAAGACAATCTCCAGCAATTGTAATTTGTCATCGAGATCTATGTCAAAAATACTCCGAAAAAATAAATATCATCCTTATAAGGTTCAATTGACGCATGAACTACTAGAGACGATTTTGACCGAAGAACGCAGTTTTGTGAGCAGATAATTGAGATGAATAATCGAAACTTAGATTTCACACGAAAGATTTTCTCTGATGAGGCTACTTTTGTTTTAAATGGACTCGTAAACAGACAAAACTGCAAGCAACTGAAAATCCTCGTTGGACACCACAGCATCGTCAAAAAATGAATGTTTGGGCAGATATTGTCAAAAACCGAATTCTTGGACCTTATTTTTTCAAAGAAAATTTAAATGGAGAACGCTACTTAGACTTTCTTCAATTTGATCTCATCCCCGCTTTAGCTGTTGTTTCCTAATCCATAAGATCCAGATATTCCTCATAATGATATAGGGTTCCAACACGATGGGAACCTCCTTAATTTGCAATTGCAGTTCGACAATTTCTTGACTTAACTTTCCCTAATAAATGAATTGGACGCAGAGGTCCTATTGAGTAGCCACCACAGTCAGCGGATTTAACCCCTTTAGATTTCTTCTTATGGGGTTATTTGAAATCGAAAGTTTATGTGAATAGATCAAATAATCTTGATGACTTGAAACAGAGAATACGCCAGGAAATAAGACTTATTCCAGCAGAGGTGATTGAAAACGTTCAACGGGAAACAATCCTTCAACTACAAAAATGTACTGAAGTAAACGGCTCTGGAACCCGGTCTTCGTCTTTGTTCTATCTTCCCACACCTCGAACAAATTTATTAAAGTTTTCACCGTTGTATACAATGGTTGAAAATCTTTCTCGAATGCAGAACCTTGTGGTTATTTTTCATGACAATATATCCCATATTAAGAGAGTTTTCTCTAGTCATAACTTGCAATATTAATTTAATTAATTTAATTCTTTATATAACCTGCTTTAGGATAATTATATGTATACTAGTTTTAATTGAATTTTAAAATGATTGTTTTGTTGGTATTTATGTTAGCATTTATTTTAACTTTGTCGACTGTATTTTTTTATTTAGTCCTATATACGTAGTGGTTATCTTTTATAATTTTTTATAACTTTTATAATCTGTATTATTGTTAACTGTTTTTTTTACTCTTGTACTTAGTAATCTGATTTTGTTAATGCATCTATTTTTATTAGCTATTTCTCCCACCTATTAATTGGTTTTAACTGTCAGGTGGTGTAACTTAAATAAATAAATAAATAAATAAATAAATAAAAAAATAAATAAATAAATAAAACATTGAACATTTATAATAAAGCAATTGTTATTTAAATAATGTTTTACCGATTAAACATTAATTTTTTTCCGTTTATCACATTTCAAACGCCATTATTACTAAAGTCCCGATTTTAAAGATATGGTGTTATACAAAAAGTGTTCAGAATTTGCGGTACAATTCAAAAATGGCATAATTTACAGGGTTACAACTAAAAATACTAATCGACGTATCCGAGTGTTTTTCCACAAAATAAATACCTGAATTTTAAACGAATTTGTTCCTTTCATCATGAAGGCACTGTATATCTAACACCACAGACAAGACGCTTAACTGTCGAAATTGCGGGAAACAAATACTTTATGGCCTACATGCCCCAACTAGCATTGAATTGTACCACCAATAACCAGTAAACAAGTAGTAATAAATAATTATAAAAAATAAAAACTAAATATAATTAATATAAAAGCAAATACCTGATTTTATTTATAAACTGGACGTATATTTTTTTGATAGAAAAACAATGATTATATCTGGTTTTGTTGAAGCTTTTGACACAGCCGTTTTAAAATAACAATTTTTCCAAAAGTTTGATGTATAACTCTTTTCTGTTAATATACATTTATTTCGTACGAAATTATCCCAAGTAAATGTGAAAATAGAAAGACAAAGACCAATTACGTAAAAAAATAGCTACTAAATCTTTTTTTTTTCACATTTTACTTAGGATTGATCAGGAGGCCTCCTTTCGCATGTAATTAATAAATAATACGGGAAATTAAGGCACCCTATATAATAAGTACCTTTTCAAGTTCTCAAGTTCCCCAAAAAGCTAATTTAATCTATCGGAACGTCATTCTGTTCTTTGCTTAAATCTTAAACTGAATATACACATTCTAGTTAACCTCCACAGTGCAAAGCACGAGTTCTTTAATCGGCAGCACCTGGAATTGGAAAGTGAGCATTTTTCGTCGTTACGATACTCCACGCTAATTCAAAAGTGTGTTAAATTCCTGGGTTTGACTTTATGGCTGTTGTATAACCGATTTACAGGTCTCAAAGTTACTCCGGTTCCGATAGTGAGTCTTTTCGCGGCAAACTATCGAACATTAGAAACTCTCCAGTGGCGTCTCTGAGGGGGAGGGGATCAAATCAAGGGAGGCAACTGGGTAGGCGTATCCAAAAACAAAACAACATCTTACGAGTAATCGGCTGCATCCTTGACCAACATTTTTAAGACGCGAGGAATTATGTTAGCAATATCTTTGCTACGTGACGAATCTTTTCATCTTTGGAGAAATTTTTCCATGATTACCGGATAACTCTCACGTATATAACGGTATCAGATAGTGCTTTTCCCTAGCGTACCTACAAGCGATTGGAATCTATTTAAACATATTTTGCAGTAGTTTTTTAATTCTATTTTAAAGGTTAAATTCGGTTCAAGCTAATTCAAACAAATTCTGTCTATTTGTTTTCTATTCTCATTTATTTTACTCCATATGTTACGAATTTTTAGAATTTGTATAAATTAGCTCATTTAAGGAGGTATATCGGGGTCCGAGGGAAGTGAGGAACGCAGGGGGGTCTTATGCTTTTCTTATGGGACAAGCCCGCTGCTAATTTTAAGAAATTAAATTCTATTGAAATTATTTGCGATAAACATTATCTATATAGCAAAGAAATCTACTCATATGCACATAGCATACATATTGACTAATTAACAACATAAAAATATCATATTTAAGTAGTTTTAAATTATATTTAATGAACGCATAAAGACTATGTAGATGTGGCAACAGCGCTAATAATTGACTAGCAGTTGTACACACTGCGAACCTACAGACCTCGGACATCGGAGATATTGCGCGTCAAATTCGGGTAAAGATGCGTACGCGTTCAAAAATGTATTGTGTGTAAACTATGTACAATATAATTATTATATATAGCAAATATATCGTATTATCCTCGCGAAGATTTGTATCCTTTATTTAAAATCCGTAAATCATGTGAACTGGTAAAACAACGAGAATTATGTTAATTTAGTTCTAAAGAAATGAAATGACACTCGCGCCCATCTCTCGTCCAAGTCAAAGAAAATGTTGGATGCAATTTTGAAGGTTCTGTGATAGAAATTACATTATTACTCACTGTTCGTGTTTTTAATCTCTATTTTAGTAATGTTACAAAAGTTTTGCAACTATAACTAATTTTTTAGATATAAAGTTTGCTGAGAAATATTTATGTTCCTTTGTTATTCCCTACAAATGCTTTTATCTCAAGTATTACTAATTATATTAATCACGTAAAGAAAACTTTATGTAACCCTAAATATTGCTGGGTAATGATTACGATATTTTTACAAACCATTAAATATATCACAATAAATATATCACAGCTTCCTAACATTTTTTAATTAATTTAGTTTTTTAAAAACATTACAAAAAATCATCTGTTGTGGATAATTTATTGTTGATAACAATGTACATGGGATTTAGGAATAATGTATATGTTTGAAATCAATTTCGTTTTTATCAAGTCTTTCAAATGTATTCCCTCCTTCAGCTGATTGCGACGTTGCCACATTAATCCTCAAGTCAGACAGAAATGCAATTATTGGTTTCTGTTTCTAATTAATACAGCTGTACTATGTTCAAAACTTAAATTAGTTTTACATCAAAAATAAGATAATACTGTGTACTATCTATGGAAAAGTTTTGTTTCACAATTTCTATATTTTTTTCTCAGTTATTGGCAAAAAAGAGCCGCACCGTCCATCTTCGCCATATAAATTTATGTTAAAATGAACAACTTTCAACAACAATATCTCAAAATCTAGATTAAATATAAAATTTCAAAAATATATGACGCACAGAGGGAGCACTGGGTAATACGCTATATAAATTTCAAGTACATCTGTGCATTTGAGTAAATCCGATATACCTCCTTAAAATAGAATAAAAAATACGAAAACTGAAAATAATGTAATAAGTCTTTTCCAAAAACAATTCCAGGTAAGAATTCAGGTCAGTTTTTTAACATTAGCAAGCTTTTAAGGTCAAAATATCACCGTCAGTACTTTAAAAATTTTGAGGTTAAGGCTGGGGAAGCCTTTCCTTTTAACTGATCCGATCTTATCTACTTTGGGGCAGTTATCTGTTATATTAAAAAGCTGAAGGAAGAGTTAGATGGTGGCGAGTATACGTGGTCGAAACCTTTACTTACTGTGGCTGAAGTGCTGAGAGACCAGCAGCTGGAAAGGTATTCCATCTTTCTGGGCGACGCCTCTGTCGACCCCAAGAATATGGTTTTTGGCATATTGCGTTAGACTGGAGTACTTCTTGTACAGTCCCATTGTATTGTACCCAGAGTGGGTAGCCTGAAAAAAATTGAATTAATACACTTGTCACAATAATAATTTTTTTTCTTTGGGATACTTTGAGGTTAAAAAAAGACAAAAATTTCCTTAGTCTATTGATTATTTGTAAGTTTAGCGAACTACGAGGGTGGTCTGAAAAGTTTCTGACCTCAACATGAAGATGGCGGCACTCGTAAATAAAAGCTAGTGAATTTCGTTGTTCATCTGTTGACAGTTATTCACCACAGTTTCAGCCATTTTGGAGGCGCAGTTGTTGTTTGTTGGGTGTTTTTATGAAAATGGACAAAATCGAGTATCGAGCTGTCATTAAATATTTGTTTTTGAAAGGCAATACGCCTACGCAAATCAAAGATGAGTTGGATACCAACTACCAACGAAAACATCGCCAAAGTTCACCAAAAGGTGCTAGACGACCGCCGAATTAAAGTGAGAGATATAGCAGAGCTTACAAACATGTCAAAGGAACGTGTTTGTCACATATTAAATCAACATTTAAACATGCGAAAGCTGTCCGGGCGTTGGGTGCCGCGTTTGCTCACGTTAGACCAAAAACGTGTTCGAATGAACATTTCCAACGCTCTGTTGGCGCAGTTTAGGAGCAACAAATCCGAGTTTTGGCGCCAATTAATTACTGTAGATGAAACTTGGATACACCATTATACGTCCGAAACAAAAATACAGTCCAAACACTGGACTGCAAAGGGAGAACCGGCTCCAAAAAAAGCAAAAACTGTTTTTTCGGCTGGGAAAGTGATGGCGACTGTTTTTTTTTGGATAGTCATGGAGTTATTTTAATCGATTATCTTCAAAAAGGAAAAACCATTACAGGAGTATACTACGCATCATTACTTGACAAGCTGAAGGCAGAACTTGCGGAAAAACGGCCACATTTGCAGAAAAAAAAATCCTGTTTCACCAAAAAAACGCACCGTCTCACACCTCAGCGGTTGTCATGGCGAAAATCCACGAATTACGGTTTGAACTGCTTGACCATCCCCCTTACTCACCAGATCTAGCCCCAAGCAACTTCTTTTTGTTCCCTCATCTAAAAATTGCGCTCGGAGGACAGACATTTTCGTCAAATGAAGAGGCAATCACCTTCGTGAACAATTATTTTGCAGAGAAAAACGCCGAGTACTATTTGGACGGGTTACAGAGATGGGAGCATCGCTGGGAGAAGTGTGTAGAGGTACAAGAGACAAGAAAAATAAAAAAAAAATCTGAAAAAATGTCTTGTATCTTTGTTAGGTCGGAAACTTTTCAGACCACCCTCGTAAATACCCAATTTGTTACTTTGTTTCGAATTAAGTTTCTTAATTGATGATTAACGGTGAAAAAAATGCTTTCTAATTGCCTTGACCTGCGCATTTAGTGAAACCAAGGTTAAAAAATATGAGCAATAGTTTCATAGGCAATGAATGTAATGTTTACTTCATTTTGTACTAGATTTTCCGTTCCTTGGCATGATGTATGCAATTTTTTCCGCCTGTATAATAGGACGACATTTAGCGTGTCACTGTAGCATGTTTATCTAAGAAATGCCGGACAACTATTAGTGGTGAATTAGGGTAACTACCCACTTCCTCTAATTTACCAATTATCTGCCCTGATGATCTAGAAAGTTTGTAGTATCAGAGTTAGGGTTCAAGTGCTATAAAAGTGGATTATATCGCGAGAAAGTCGTAAGAATAGGACAATAGTACACATTTTGCATGAGTGTTTGCGCTAGTATAACAAATTTTCACGTGCTTATAATGGAATTTTATTCTCACCCGGGATATACGATGTTACTGTTTTTAAGGAAATACAAACTTGAAGAGATATTTTAAAAAATCAAGTTGATATATAGGGCGTTTACTCAATAATAATAATGGGTCATACTTAAAGTCTAGCTTCCTTGGATGAAAATTATAGTCTGTTTGGAAATGAAAGAGAGTAATAAAACCATGAGATAAGAACCGGCCATAGGCGTGGTAATATTTCGTTTCAGGTAATTATTGGAAAATCGACTATCTACAGACTTTTAAAGGAAACAAAAAATGAACAAGATACTGTAAATCCCCCAAAATCATCTACAGGGAGGTCAAAAGTCGTTATAGATGATTTCTTCAAAAATGTCATTCGCAGAAAAGTACACTCATTTTATTTTAAAAAAGAAATACCAACGCTAAACAAAATTTTAAGTGAACTTTCAGAGGACAACGATTTGCCAAAAATCAGTAGAAGCAAATTATGGGCCGTCTTACGAGAGTTGAATTTTTGCTGGGAAAAGCAGAACAGGAAGTCAGTTCTTATCGATAAAGATGAAATTATTTGTTGGCGAAGATCCTACTTAAGATCAATTAGAAAATTCCGTGACGAAGGGAGGAATATTTATTATCTAGACGAAACTTGGGTCAACGAGGGATATACTGTAACAAAAGTATGGCAAGATAAAAATGTAAAAAGTTTTCGACAAGCATTTTTGGATGGACTTTCAACAGGGTTCAAGGCACCTTCAGGTAAAGGGCGAAGATTAATAGTGACACATATAGGTAGTGCCAGTGGTTTTGTAGATGGCGGTTTACTTTTATTTGAATCTAAAAATACAGGTGACTATCACGAAGACATGAACGCAGATGTTTTCGAAGAGTATTTTACACAGATGTTGGATCTTATTCCTCCGGGGTCTGTAATTGTCATGGATAATGCCAGTTACCATTCACGGCAGACCGAGCGGACGCCTACGACTGCTTGGAGGAAAGCCGATATAATTCAATGGTTATCCGGAAAAAACATTTCTTTTGAAACAAATATGGTGAAAAAGGAACTTTTGACACTTGTCAATCTTAATAAAGATCAGAAAAAATATGTTATCGATGAAATGGCAACAAATCGCCAAATAACGGTACTACGGTTACCACCTTATCACTGTGAACTTAACCCAATCGAATTAGTCTGGGCGCAGGTAAAAGGAGATGTAGCGCGAAATAATACGACGTTTAAATTAAGTGACGTGAAAATTTTGTTAAAAAATTCCTTGGAACGAGTAACTGCAGATAACTGGCAAAGATGTATACATCATGTACAAAAAGAAGAGGAGAAAATGTGGGAACTCGATAATTTAATTGACGTTACTGTGGAACCTATCGTTATCAATCTAGGAGACGAAGATAATTCATCAGAATATTCAGAGGATGAATTTTAATATACCTACTTTTTTATTTTCTTTATTGTACATTTATACAACACTACATTTACTCACCATAATTTGAATTTTCAAAATACATATATTTTTGTGTGGAATAAAAGTCTATTCATTAAATTTAAATAAATATTTTGATAATAATATTGAATAATTTTATTTGAATTACTAAAAACCCTCTTAACCCGGTTATGATGCTTAAAGTAGCCTCATGTTTTGAAATGCTGTTTTTATATTGTTTACTTATAAGAGAAATGGACCGAGAAATTGAAGCGGCATAGACAAAGACGGATTGTCGGGGATTAAATTTTAGCTACCTGCTACAATTTAGTACAACCCGGTCACACAAAGTTTTTTTAAAAGTACACCTCATCTATACCGATAATACATAATATAAAAATATTGAATATAAGCACCAGTACTACATTTATTTACGATTTGCATACATAATAAGCTTTTATTACTCTCTTTCATTTCTAAGCAGACTATAGGTGATTTAAATCAACTTACCTAAGTGCCATCTTACTTTCTTAAGAAGTTATAGGCCCGAGAAAGTAGTTTTTTTATTTCACTTTTTTACGATCATTTATTTATTATTTGGGCAATTTTACTCTAATTTTGGAAAAGTATGTTTTTTATGTTATATACACGAATATTTTCTTGTTATTTGAAATAATTTTACAGGGCTTCCTTTCAGATTTTTTTAAGGGTAGGACTAAATGAAAATCTTCCTGACGAGATCTGCAATGCTACTCTCATTAATAATTACTTCATTGACTGTACGTCTAATTTAAATGTTAACCAAAATTACATTTCTTACCTTCATAATTCTAAATATAAGAACAATTTACATTTTACATACACACCTTCAGATATTAATACAATTCAAGATCTTATTAAGAAACAAAAACCTCATACAATGGGTTCAGATGGTATTTCTGGCAAAACGCTTCAGTTGTCGGTTAAATGGGTATCGGCCCCACTTACACACATAATAAATTTTTCATTAGATTGGTCAGTTACCGGAACAATGGAAAGTTGCTTGTATTAGACCATTACCAAAATAGAAAAATCCAAAAGAGCTGAAAGATCTGCGTCCAATTAGTATGGTCTCTCTTCCTCTTAAGATTGCCAAATCTGCTATTTTTGATCAGCTGTTTAAATATTGTTTTGAAAATTCAATAATTCCTATAAATCAATCAGGTTTTCAGAAGAGAATTAGTTCTTCAACTTTATTGGCTAATGTAACTGATGACATTTTGACAGCTATCGATAATTCTCTGATTTCGTCTCTAACTTTACTTGATATGACTAAGACAATTGATTCAATTATTGCTAAACTTCATTATTATGGTATTTCTAGCAATATATTGTGCTGGTTTTGTAATTACTTACACGGTAGAGAACAAATACTAGATTAAATACATATTCCTCGATACTAACATCACCTTATAGATCAGTTGGGTCTGGTGTTCCTCAGGGATCTATATTAGGACCACTTTTGTCTAACATGTTTACAGCAGATTTGTCGAGAATTCCTTTGAATTGTAAACTAAATATGTACGCTGACGATTTACAACTACTTTATAGTTTTAAGCCTTCTAATTTAAATATTGCCACAGCAGTTATTAATAATGACTTACAATTAATTCATGACTGGACCATAAAAAATACTTTATTAGTTAATCCCAATAAAAGTCAAAACATTCTATTTGGAACATTAACTCAATTGCGAGGTCTGGATAACTTTCCCGTTTTAATTAACAATGAAAATATTCCTGCAGTCAATGTTGTTAAAAATCTTGGCCTGACTTTT